TATATAAATTTATATAGGGAAAAATATACAATTAAATACATTTTATTTAAATATTATATTTCATTTTTTATAATCTATTAACAAAGATAATTATTAACTTTTAAATATATTTCTTTTTCCTAACAATTCAAAAGTATCAAATCATACTTTTTCATAAAGCAAACTTATAAATATTATTATATCTTTCTCAGATTAAAAAATCAGCCTGTTTGAGAAAAAGTTCAAAGCTTATTAACTAGTTGATTTTACAATTAAAAAGAGCAATCATGTAAGAAAATGAAGAGCATTATGTATTTTAGAAAATAGCAATTAAACCATTTGAAAATTCAGGAAATTCATAATGTTCATTTAAAATTGATGAATAATTTTTATTGAAATTCCTGAAAGACCAAATAGAAAATCTATTTAATATTAGAGAATTGTAAAATTGTTTATACAGATAATAAATGATCAAAATCTGTTCTATTGACATAAAACATACTGAAAATTGTGAATCAAGCTCATTAAGAAAAGAAATAAATTAAAAGTGAACATTAAAAATCAATAGATGAACTTAAAACACAATTAGAAGATCATTTTAAAAAGGGGAAATCTTATTTAATGACAAAACAAAAATATCAATAAAATGTTGAATTATAAATGATTCTAACTTTACTTTTGGTTAAAAAATATTAACATAATAGATTGAGTAATTCTAGTTATTTTTTTAAATTTAGAGTTTTTTAATGTAATAAATAATTAAATAAACTATGAAGTTAGAAATTTGAATAATTCAGAAATAACAATTATATTATTAAATATACATAGCTTTTAGATTTTTGCTTCTCTAATTTTTTATGATTCAAATCCTGTATATCATCTTTTAGTGAAGTAATAGTATGCAATAAATCAATTCTCATGGTAGACAACCAATCAGAATTTTTTTTTGGAATGTTTATTTATATATATTTTTGGATTAAAATATCTTAAATTTCCTTTTAGGAAAAAAAGATAAATCTCTATAATTTTTGATATATTCTGATATAATCAAAATTTATTTAAAATGGAATAATGCAAATAAATCTTCATTCTATTTTTGAAGTAAGATGAATCTATTTAATTAAATTTTTCCAATTTTATATCCTAAAAGAGAATCTGTAAAGTTCAATTACTAAACTAAACTGTATAAGAAATTGCTCTATTCATTAATATTATGAATTTGTATTAAATTTAAATTGAAGTTTGCCAACTAAAATAGCTTTGATGGATTTAAGATTGATTATTCAACCAATAATTATTAAAATTTATTTTAAATTCATAAATTGCATCACTAAATAAATAATAATTACTAAAACATATCCACACTTCATAAGTTTTAATATTATTTATAATTAATGAGATATTTTAGGTATNTAAATATTATATTTCATTTTTTATAATCTATTAACAAAGATAATTATTAACTTTTAAATATATTTCTTTTTCCTAACAATTCAAAAGTATCAAATCATACTTTTTCATAAAGCAAACTTATAAATATTATTATATCTTTCTCAGATTAAAAAATCAGCCTGTTTGAGAAAAAGTTCAAAGCTTATTAACTAGTTGATTTTACAATTAAAAAGAGCAATCATGTAAGAAAATGAAGAGCATTATGTATTTTAGAAAATAGCAATTAAACCATTTGAAAATTCAGGAAATTCATAATGTTCATTTAAAATTGATGAATAATTTTTATTGAAATTCCTGAAAGACCAAATAGAAAATCTATTTAATATTAGAGAATTGTAAAATTGTTTATACAGATAATAAATGATCAAAATCTGTTCTATTGACATAAAACATACTGAAAATTGTGAATCAAGCTCATTAAGAAAAGAAATAAATTAAAAGTGAACATTAAAAATCAATAGATGAACTTAAAACACAATTAGAAGATCATTTTAAAAAGGGGAAATCTTATTTAATGACAAAACAAAAATATCAATAAAATGTTGAATTATAAATGATTCTAACTTTACTTTTGGTTAAAAAATATTAACATAATAGATTGAGTAATTCTAGTTATTTTTTTAAATTTAGAGTTTTTTAATGTAATAAATAATTAAATAAACTATGAAGTTAGAAATTTGAATAATTCAGAAATAACAATTATATTATTAAATATACATAGCTTTTAGATTTTTGCTTCTCTAATTTTTTATGATTCAAATCCTGTATATCATCTTTTAGTGAAGTAATAGTATGCAATAAATCAATTCTCATGGTAGACAACCAATCAGAATTTTTTTTTGGAATGTTTATTTATATATATTTTTGGATTAAAATATCTTAAATTTCCTTTTAGGAAAAAAAGATAAATCTCTATAATTTTTGATATATTCTGATATAATCAAAATTTATTTAAAATGGAATAATGCAAATAAATCTTCATTCTATTTTTGAAGTAAGATGAATCTATTTAATTAAATTTTTCCAATTTTATATCCTAAAAGAGAATCTGTATAAGAAATTGCTCTATTCATTAATATTATGAATTTGTATTAAATTTAAATTGAAGTTTGCCAACTAAAATAGCTTTGATGGATTTAAGATTGATTATTCAACCAATAATTATTAAAATTTATTTTAAATTCATAAATTGCATCACTAAATAAATAATAATTACTAAAACATATCCACACTTCATAAGTTTTAATATTATTTATAATTAATGAGATATTTTAGGTATTACATTAGATGTTGCTACCAATTTTATACTAAATTATTTAAATGACAGTACCAATACATATGGAATACAGACATTTTAGAATATTTTGTGTTTCCTTCATAAATTTAGCAATATCATATTTTTAAAACATATTAATAGAGAAGAAAATGCTGCTTATTGATACTAGTTAATGACAACTTCTTACTAACTTAGTTAAGATATGGATTGATTTTAGTTATATTATTTAATATTTAGATTTTGATACTAAAATAATGATGTCATTATGCAATCTCAAACTTTGTGTCCTTTAAAGAATATTAAAAATATTGCAAAGACGAAATATATAATCTTTTGACTATTTCTATCAATAAAATATTTATAAATATGTCGTAATTAAAAATTTTATCTATATTATTAATATTATTAATATTTCATGCAAAAAATAGATTTTAAAATGCAAGCACCATTGCCAAAAGATACGCTTTGTCAGTTGTAGCATTAGTAGTATTAGTTTCATTACTTTTATTACTTTCATTAGTTTTTGGTATTGTTTTTGCAAAACAAGATTAACATCTATTCGTTCTAAAATTCCAAGTATAACTATAGCCAGTTCCTTTATAACAATCATTTTCAAGAAATGTCAAAGGATCTGCTTCATTACATTGATTATTTTTGAATTAGCAAATTATTTTAGTTTAATAATTAAATTTAAAGAAGAAATTACAGACTCTAAATGTAGCATAATAAGTTTCACAAGTATGAGGTTTACAAAAGTTTGATGGATAAACCTAATCAGATTAAGGCACCCAATAACATACATTTTAAACTTATTCACAAGCTTAATAATACTAAGCAACTATACATTCAGTTATCTGTTTACAATATTAATTATTATAAAATACACATGGCCCATCTAATCCATAAGAATAACAAGATGTTTTTGTTTTGTATTCTGAACAATTAGATTTGGGAACACAATTAATTCCATCAGAAACACAAGATGGTAAAATAAGTTAGCAATTGCTAGTTATAGATACATTTTTAATATCTGGACAAATGAGTGGTCTACATAAATTTGAATCTTATTCCCAGAAACATGGATCATCTAAACTTTTAGCAACTATACAAGCAGTTTAAGTTTAATGATAAGTACATTATTCAATAGGTATACAAGTAGATCCATTTGATGTACAATTTAATAATTAATCATAACAACTTGAATGATTATTTCCAATTAAATCAAAGCAATTTTGATCTCTGCATGCTGAGATTGTAGATTCCCATATACAAATACCAGTAGACAGAATATTATTAGAATTATCTAATATTTAACCAGCTTTATTTATAAAACATCCAGATTAACTATAATATAATGCGCAAGGCATTAGAGATATACATCCGGTTCCATTAGTTGTACATTTAATACTATAATTTTAACATTCTGTATGTGTAATATAAGATACAATTTAACAAGAGAATGAAGATTCTAGACTACAAATTTTAGAATATAAATTATTTTGATTTAATTTTGATTATGCACAAACACCATCAAAACCTGTAACACATCCTCCATTTGTATTAGTTTCTGAACATTAAATCAATTTACATTCTTCATCAGTTTACCATAATACACTCTAACAAGATGTATATTTAATACATTTTCCTTTAGATTAATTATTTTTATCTACAATCCATAAACATGGTCCATTAATTCCTTCAATGCAAGCTTCTCTAATAGTTGTTAATTCACATGATAAAATTCTTGCGCATTTTCCATTAAATCCAACAGTACATCCCAACTTTTCAAATTTACATTATAAATGACTTGTTCCATTAATATCAATACATTCTTAATATCTACATTTATTTTCTGTTTAATCCCAAATACATATTTTATTCTAATTATCTCTAGTACAAGCTGTTTTAATTTAAGCAGCATAACATGAAAATTTTATAGTACATCCTCCACCATATTTAGCAGTACAATTATTATAATAATTAGCACATTATTCTTCAGTATTTAAAGTATAAGGTGCTGTTGAACAAGATTTCATTGTACAATAACCATTAGAATTTTTTTCTGTTTTGATCCATTAACATTAATCGCCCTATGATGATATTTTACAACCAGCTTCACTTGAACTTTCAAAACATGCTCCCCTTTAAACACAAAATTTACCATTAGTTGTACAAGTAGACTTTACTTGAGTACATTCATAATCTGTTGTTAAATTGTAATGTTCACATACTTTTATTTTACATTTAATATTATCTATTGTACATTCTGATAAATAAGATTCACATTTATCAGGAGTTTACATCGATTCTGGTACATTATCACATGTTTTGGTAATACATGAATTTCCTGTCCAAAAACAAGGATTACCTTAATTATTATAAAAACATTATTCTTTAGTCATTTCTTCACAATTTTAAGGAATTGTTGTGCATCCTAATCCAGAACTAGCAACTGTACATTTATCTCCAAAATAATTTTTACATTTATTATCACTATCATAATCATTTGTTAAAGGTGCTGTGTCACATGACTTTTCTAAACATTAAGTTGATTACCATTCACATGGTTTACCTTTATCATTAATCTTACATTATTCTATATTTGTATATGATGAACATGATGTTATTACTTAACATCCAGATAATATCAATATTCCATCTTACTCAACATTTAATGCTACTGTACATTAAACAGTTGGTGTATTATAATATGAATAACATTCATAATGAGTTGATAAAGAAAATGGTGCAGTTGTACATGATTTATCTTAACATTATGGTTTTTCTAAAGATTAATTAGTATTCCAAACACAAATATCTCCATTTTAATTTGTAACACATTATTCTTCTATTGTATAAGAATCACATGATTATAAAGATATACAACCAGCAATAGCAATACCTTCAGATGCTTTTACTGTACATGTTAATTATTAATCTACAGCAAAACATTCATCATGAGAATCATAAGAAACTGTTGCTTCAATATTTTCACATTTCAAATCAACACAATTTTAAATTGTTTTATTCCAAAAACATTTCTTACCAGAACTATTTAATTTGCATTAACTCTGAGAAATATATGAAGAACAATTACTTCTTGGTTAACATCCTCCTATTCTAGCTACAGTACAAGATTACAAATATTCTGAACATTCACTATCATCATCATGTGTTGTATCTGATGATGCTGTATCACATGTTTTTTTTAGACATTATTATCCTACAACAACACACTCTCCTTCAAAAGAATTTAAACATTAAACAGCTTATTAATCCATGCATTTTTATTTCATTGTAATACATCCATTCTTTCCAATATAAACAGTACAAGAATTTAACCAATTCTTACAATTCTCATGATTAAATGGACCTATTGCATTTCCACATGTTTTTATTGTACATCCTATTATTCCATTTACTGTACATTCATTTTTCATTTAATTACAATTCTAATGATTGTAATTACCATCGCCTAAATATAAATTTTCGCAATTGGTTATCTGTGAAACAGAAATACAACTATTATCAGCGGTTGAACTCGAAATGCATAATCCACTTTTGGATTAATAACAATTTTCAATATTATTATTATAACCTGAACATTATTATTACTATTATATACAACCACTTTTTAATCTATTTACACTACATCCAATATTATATGATTAGCAATATTAATAAGTTATAGTGCCTTGTGTTCCTGTAATTTTAGAACAATCTGTAGTAGGATTAGAAATAGTGATACATTTTTATTTATCTTAGTAACATTTAGAGGTAGGAGTTTTTGTACAAGAATTAGTTCCTAGATATTATTCACAGGTAGATTTTAATTCTTAACAAGAGTTTCCATCAGCCATAGATGTACAAGATATATTATATGATTGACAACTAGAATGATTAAGACCAACTCCAGTAATTGAACTACATCCTAAAGTTCTTATTTAATAGCAAGAATTTTCAAACCAAAGACAAGATGTGCCATCATTTTACATTACACAAGTATTTTAAGTAGAATAATTTTTACAATAAGATTTTTTTTCTTAGCATCCAGTACCATCTTTTAGATTTGTGCAACTAGTAAACTATGCTTAACACTGAGTATTATCTAAATCAGAACCTAATATTAATGTACATTAATTTGCATTAGTAATTGCAATACAAACTGCAGGAGATAATTCAGTATTCCAAACACATACATCAGCTGGAGATTTAGCTTTAGAGAAAGAGCATGTAGTATGAGTTAAATATAGATCACATGTATTTTATAACTCTTAACAACCAGTTTTTAAAGAATTGACTGTACAACCTGTATTAAAAGTTGTACATATATTCTTTGATAAAGGATATGGTTATACAACTGAAATACACAAAGAAGAAGCATTTGATATTTAAATACAAACTTCTGGCCAAACTGTACTATTCCAGTAGCATTTACCAGCTGTTGATGTAGTGCAACTTTCAGATGTTGTATAAATATTACAGGTTGCTTTTTTTTCTTAACAAGCTTTTCCTGTAGAATTTGCAATACATAATGTATTATATGATGAACATTCAATATCATTAAAAGTTGTATTTGCAATAATTAGAACACATTATGTAGCAGCTGTAACTGCAATACATTATGCAGGTGATGCATCAGGATTCCATACACATTTTTATGCTGATGATTTAGAACATGCTGTTACATTAGAATATTTATCACAAGCACTAAGCATATATTAACAAGCTGATCCTGAATTATTTATTGTACATCCTGATGAATAAGAAGAACAAATAGAATCAGTTAGATTATTTCCTGGTATGTAAGCACAAAGTGTTTCAATATTTTAACTAGTAATAGCAAGACATGATGTTGCATTCCAAATACATTTACTGGCACTTCCTGCTGCTTTAGAAAAAGTACAAGAGTTTTTACTAAAATAGAGGTCACATGTTGCTTATTTTCTTTAACAAGCTGTTCCATCAGCATTAACTGTACAATCTAAATTATAAACACTACATAAAGCATCTGTTAATTAAGTTCCAATAACATATAAACAATGAGTTTAAACTATTGAAGTTGTTATAGCTACACAAGCATCTTCAGCCCAAACACATTTTATTGTCGAGGTTGAAATTAAAGTACATGAATTTTGTGTTGAATATAAATCACATCTTACTTATTTTTATTAACAAGCAGTTCCATTAGCATTTGAAGTACATCCTTAATTATAAGATGAACATAATTCATTTGTAATTCCAATTCCAGTTATAGAAGAACACATCAAAAAACGAACACATTCTGTACCATCAAAGTAACATTTACCTTATTTTGAAATTGTACAATGTTATAAATCACCTGAATATAAATTACAAGTGTTTTTATATTCTTAACATCCAGAACCATTATTTAAATATGTACAAAAAGAACTGTAAGCTTAACATTTTTCATGATCTAAACTAGATGATGAAATTACAAAAGTACATTCAGAAGCCTATTTTATAGTTTAACAATATGGTGGATTAACAGTTACCATTACACAATAACTTTACGTACCTATTGCACTAGATCTAACACAACCAATTGATTATGATCCATATTCTTAACAAGTTGGTTTTATAGGAATACATCCATATCCATCTATTCTCACAGAACATGATTTATCTAATTTTTAACAATCTTCAAAAGTTAATTTTTATCCTATTTTCAATTAACAATCTAAAATGCAAGGAGTAAAAGAATCAGCTTAATCTGTATTTGTACAACCATCATTAAACTTTTAACACATTTATTTAGATCCTTTTAAAATTGAACAAGGTTATGAAATTAATTATAATATTGAATAACATGTATCTATAATCCATTTACAATCATCTTTTGTAGTTGAATTTTATATAGTTTTATGACATTATCCTGAGATCTTATAATCTGAACAATTAGCTTATTTGTTTATGCAACCTTAACCACCAACTTTACTAATTACTGTACATTTTTCATTACTTTAATAATTTGAACATTCTTCATCTGTATCATACAATTAACTATCAGAAGCATCAAAACAAGTTGCACTTCTACAAACTGAACCAGTCCATATACAATATTTAATTTTTGATGTTAATTTACAATTTTCATAGTCACTATAATCTGAGCATTGAAATGCTAATCTCTAACATCCAGTTTTTTAATTGTTTACAGTACATTCTATTTATTAACCATTACAATCATTATGGGTTGTGAATTTAAGATTTTAACATGTTCTATCAACACATTCTAAACCATTCCAATAACAATCTCCATCTCTTTTTGATCCTAATTAACAATTTTAGTAAACTAAATCTCTACAACTTGATTATTTTGACATACATCCATCAGAATTGTTATTTACAATACAAGAATTATCAGAAAGATAATTTTTACAATTTTAAAATGTAAATTATGTTATTTAACTAATTATTCCTATCATAGATGCAGTTTCACAAGATTTTTCAACACATTAATTCTTTAAAGGATTCCATAAACATTTTGGATAACTCTTTCTGGATATTTCGCAGTTTTCTAAAGTCATTCTTTATCTACAATTGATTGGCAAGTCTTGGCATCCCATAATTACTTAAATTCCATTCATTATAATTTAATCGTTTATAACACATTATGGTAAATATGATTAGCATTCTTATGTTGTTTTTATTAAATTAGAGGCAGTTGAACAACTCTTATCTATACATTAATAACCATTCCATCCACAAGGTTCTCCATTAGCTTTTTTTATACACGAATTTTTATTTTTTATTTATTAACAAATATTTGGTAAAGGTACACATCCAAGGCCTGAATTACTTAAAGTACAACTTGATAGATATGTTTAGCATTCTTGATAAGTAGTTGCCTTTGAAGCAAAGACACATTGCTTTTAATAACATTTTTCAACCCAAACACATGTTATATTACTTAAGACATCCATAAGACAATCTGTTTAAAGAAGGAAATCTTCGCATTTCTTCTCTATGCATTCTGTATTTGTTGGATTAGCAAAACAAGTATCTGAAAATTGTTAACAATAATTTTATGTTATTGTATGGCTTACAGAAAGTAATCTATTTAATGAACTACTTGAATCTGTTTATATCGCATACCAACATGATTTTCTTTTACATTGTAGATAAATTTAATCCCAAATACATTATACTCCATAAATATCTTAAATACATGCAGCTTCTATTTTAATGGCTTCGCAAATAGTTTAAGTAATACATCCACCTCCAGTTTATGTAATACAATTATGCCCTTATAAATAACCTTCACATTCCTCATTAGTTAATAATGATGTTGGGGCATTTTCACATGTTTTCTCATAACAACCTACTTATCCTTTAAATGTAAACCAAGCGCATGTATAACCATTCGAATTCTTATAACAAGCTATTAAAGTATCAACTGCTGAAGAAGATCTATTTTAAACAAATCCTCCTAATGAAGTTGTTATGCATCCTGCTTAAAATTCTTCACATTCAGAATTTGTCATTAATGTTTTTGATGCATTCTTACATATTTTTTCTAAACAATTTTATCCATTCCAAAAACATGAAATTCCTTCAGCATTTTTAACACAAGCTTCCTTTATTTTTGCTGCTGAACAACTAGTTCTAATTACACAACCACCCTTCTCTTTTGTTGTACAACTTCCATCTTTTCTAAATTGTATACAAGCATTATCAGTTGTCATTGAAATAGGGGCATTACTGCAAATTTTATCTTTACATAATCCTCCATCCCAAAAACAAGCCATTGATTTATTTAAATCCCATACACATTAACTTTCTAACTTTTAATCAATGCAATTAAGTTCACTCGTAATACAACCTCCATTTATCTGTGATGTACATGTTCTAATATTGTCTCTGCATTCTTTATCACTCCTTAATGAAGTAGGTAATTTATCACATGTATCAGCAATTACACATTCATTTTTAATATTATTCCAAAAACAAAATTTTCCTAAATCATTTTTTTAACAGGAACGTTATTTTTATATTAATCACAAGCACTTATTTATACACAATGATTTCCATCTGTAATACAACTATTATTAATCAATTAACAATCCTCATCAGTTTTTCTCTCATAAACTGTACAATCTGTAAAAAAAACGCATTTATTATTTTCCCAAGCACAAGCAGTTTTTTAGCAATCATTTTATCCAAATTGATCGCAATATGTTGGATATTTTTTAATAATAATTGGATTTTCCACAGTCACACGATTTGTACAATATTGACTATTCTTATCCCATTAACAATCTTTATTAAAAACGCAATCTCCTTCTGATAGTAATGAGGAGCAAGGACAAATTTTGACACTAACTTCTATTTGACATGTTAAAAAGATTAATAGATAATGTATCACAACTTTGTTGAAATTCATAATAAAATTAATATTTTATTGCCTTGCTGCTGTTATGAAAGGAGGCTATTGGTAATAAAATATTTAGATGATTTGTTTATCAATAATATTTCAATGATATAAGAAAAATACAACCTCAAAATTTAATAGAATAAAATATTATTTCTTTGAAATTAGAGCATTGATCTTTAAACTTTTTATTTATTTATTTTTATTTTTATTTAAAACAGGAATCTCATCATTAAGTTAAAGAAATGAATATCCTTTTAACATTGACCATCTATTTCAACAAAATAAATAAATTATATATTTTAGAATGATAGTAGCAATTATTAAATATTGAGAATTATTTATAAAATATAGTTAATTTTAAAAAGTAACTCAAGTAAAATTAATTTTAGCATTATACAGAATAACTAAATCTATTTTTTTTATTTTATAATGAGATTTTAAATTTATTTTTTAAAATATAATATAAATATTTTATGAAATGATCATTATGGATTTATTTTATGCTGAAGATTTGTCATTGTTTTGGAATTGATCATTATTATAGTATTTGTTATTTTTTTTAAATATTATCTTGACTAAATAATTAAAATTTTATTAAATAATGTATTAGGTTAAAATAGATATACAAGATTTTTTACAAATGGATTAGTTTTTGTTAGGTTTATTTCTGTTTTTGTAATTTAGTTTACACTTACATTCTATTTAATTCAAAAAATATTCAAACAATTTATATATTTTCCATGAACAAAGAAATGAATTTTATTGGATAGAATTAGAATAATTTAAAAATCAAAAAAAGATAATCATGAAATAATAGGATTGTATTAATTAACTAGAAAACGTTATTTTTATTATTAATAAGTTATCATAACAACTAAATTTTGATCCTTTAATTAGTGAAAGTCTAAAAGTAAATCAAGATTTTGTTTCTATTCTTCTAAGTGACCACTTAGTTTTTTTACTTATGCAAGAATATTAGATTTTGTTTAGAGATTTCTTCAAGTAAAATATATTCACTCGCTTAAACAGCTACAATTTAACAATTATTATTCAGAATATGATATGATCCATTTTATTTGAAATTTCTTACATTTTCTTTTTAATTTCTTGGACTTTAACATTTAAAGCATCAATATCAAACTATTTCTTTAATGACATTTTGCTAAAATTCAATAGCACTAAAAGAATCAGCAAAGTTTATTATAATTATTTGAGAACCTTATACAATTATTTTAGTAAGAAAACTCTAATGTAATTAATTCTTTTGATAGATTTATTACCAATTAATGATGATCTATCAAAAAAGATTATATAAGAAATTTCACACTATGTCATGATATTTCATTATTGATATCCTAATTCAAAAGAAAAGAAATTTTTTCTAAAGTAACAGCTTATATATAATATTCTGTAAATTTAGATGAGATCAAAATTTCTGTTAAATTTCATTGCTCATTCTTGATCTTAATATATAAATATGGTTTTACTAAGTATTAAACTAATAATAAAATATTGATTCATTATAAATTGGCATTGAATCAAAAACTTATCTATATTTAAAAAGCACTCGCTTCGTTTCTTAATAATAGAAACTAGCAAGCTAATGATATAAATATTAAAATCTATAAAATATACAAATGATCGAATAATATGTTTATCTATTTTTGAAAAATTTTTAAAACTCTCATATATTTGGTAATGCAAAATATAAGTTTTTAAATTCAATTAATATAAATATTTAAATGTTTTATAAAGAATAATTTATTGTATATTAAGTTAACAATTGACTAAGGAGAGCAAATAGCTCAACAAATACTATCTACATTTAGAACCTAGATGGAAAATATTCTTTTATTGACTCAATCTTTATCAGATTATGACATAGATTATTTAAAAAATTTATTTCAAACCATTTATATGTCTATTAATTCCCTAATTGAATTACTAAAGGAATAAGAAAGGAGAAGAATGGAATACTAAAATTAATCAATTACATAAATATAAAACCTAAATATATCACTTTAAAACTAAACATCTTAATTTTAGAAACTTGAGAAAGACTTAGAAGGATTAGCTGGAGATATTGCAGAAATTTAAATTGAACGTTAAGAATAAGATAATGAAGAGAGAATAGACATATCAGTATAAGATAATTAAGACAATAGATAAAATCAAATACATTAAGAACCTTCAAATAATATTATAGAAACTATTGGTA